TTTACGTGTCAGGGTTTATTTGCAGGAATTGATCAATCATTTAGCCAATACAGAAAACGAAAGCCTGATGACATACAAACGCTTAGTATTTAGTTTATTATGATATTAAAAGTAGAAAAGGAAGTCTGAGAAGCTAAAAAAAGAATAGCTGGTATTTGGTAAAGGCTGCCTTAATGATATTCAATCTAAGAATCCCATTACTATCTTTAAAAGTGTATTAATGTCAACATTCTCAAATAGATCAGATAGCCCTGATTTACTAAGATTTACTTATTAGCTGATTATTCCACAACATTCTCATTTACCATTTTTTTATTAAGAAAATATTGTAATGAATACTTTAACTGATTGTTGTTCACGTTTCATCCCAGCTGTTCATATTATAATCGATTTACTTAGTGAGACTGTGCAGAAAGTGTTTAGTTCATACACATGAATTGTAGCATCAGCGTTAATATCAGCTTGTTCTCTCACCTGACCAGAGCCATGCCGTTCCTCACCTTCCCCGTCATCACACTGTCCACCAGCTGCAAAGAGGCGCCTGCAGCCAGCTTGGCACAGTGATAGATGTTCTAGGACAGAAAAAAGGAGTATTAATAGATATTTAAGAATAATAATAGCTACCACTCAGTAAGAAAAAGTATGTATCCGACTTACTGGATGGAAGTAGACGTCCCCATACTGCAGGGTGAACTCCTGCAGGTCCTCCAGAGTCATAAAGGGGGTCTTCTTCACCGCCTCCAAGTACTCCTCACTTTTAAAGTAGCAAAGCACATAGCTGAGTGGCTTTGGGATATTATGTCAGCCTCACACAGAGGAAGAGCAATGACTGACCTGTGAACCAGCAAGATGTCTTCATCCGTTGCCTCGCGGACAGGTACAGAGACGCATCGATCAGCAAGACCCGAGTTTTTCAAAGCTTCATAACTCACTATCAGACGCTCAGGTACCTCGATCTTACATGCAGGGCTGGAGAGAAAAAAAATCTAAATTATATTCCATGTAGTATGATATTAAGATTTCTATTTTTGTGTTGTTCAAGAGGATGTTTGGATCTGTAACTCAACATCATTTGTACAGTAGTGGTTAAAACATTTCTCTTTAACACTTATTGTGCACAGGCATCCTAAAATACCAAGAAAAATGGGTTAAAATTAAGCTCAAAACCATTGGATACTACCCTGACTAATACAAATACAAAATGTAGTACAGTATTTTAAAAAAAAAGATGAATTGGGGCCGGATATGCATGTGTATAATAAATGTGCAAAAATGACTATATTGCAGACACAAAGAGCACAATACCTCCTTAAATATGTGGAATTACAATGTTAAACTGCTCAACAGATCAAGCTAGTTTGAATAATAAAATGCTAATTGTCCATAAACTTGCATTACATTAACATAGCAATAGGAGACAGCGGGCAAAGAGCAAAACACTGGGTGCAATGTAACAAATAAACCGCATGAGAAAGATATTTTAGAACTTTTTTTGGAATAAATAAATACTGATAAGATGAGGGTGCTCCTCAATAACCACCCCGGCTACCTACAACAAACCGCAACTCTAGTTCCTACCATTACTTGAAGGCACGAACGAATCACTTATCTGAAGTAACTATTAACCATTTCCTGCATTCTGTTTAACACGCATTCACTAACCAGTGACACCCTTTGGACTCAGAACGATAACGTTACAGTCACACACGTTAATTAACCAATAGCTAGCTAACGTTAGCCGAGGCAAGCTACAGTAACTTTAACGAACAAACCACTTTATATATAAGCATAGAGACATTGTGTCTTTACTCCTGTCATGTCGGTTACTTACTCAACCCAGAGCAGTTTGTATTTGGTCATCTCCTCATCGTAAATCAATGCTGTTCCCATCTTCAGTACTTCTCGGACGAGCTGCAGCACTATGACAACAGTGCAACTTTCTGTTAGAAACTGTTCCTAATATAAGCGGTACACGAAGTAACTGGACAGAGAATCAATGAGTTAAGCTGCTGTTATCGGACTTTCACCGTAATGTGAATAGTTTACCATAGACTGTAGTTTACTGATAGCTAGAGGCGCCCTTTCTTTCTGCATGAAAACAATGTGGACATCTGAGTCTGATGGAGGTTGTCAAACTGTTTGATGGAGCACTACCGCCACCCTCTGGACGGGGTCTGGTACTTGAAATATTACTTATTTTAAATGGCAAAATGAAAGTTATCTAACGTACAATATACTGTTAGTATTACTATGTGCAATAAAGTGCCTTTTCACGTGCAATCCACATCTGTACATATTGTCCTCAATCATGTTAAGTGTAGGGTCGTTGCATTTATTTTAGTCTTATTTGCAGTGGCGGCCGGTCCATAGGGGCGCTAGGGGCGCCGCCCCACCTCTTCCCATATTGAAAAAAAAAAAAAAAATTAAAATTAAAATTAAAAAATATATATATGTTTAAAAAAATATATATATTTTTATTTTTATTTTTAATGAACAAGGTAAATATTATATAATTGGTATCAGTAAAATGTATAATCTACAATAAAATCTCGTTTAAAATTGTGTTACGATGTCTAAAGTTACTGATAAGTCACATGTTTCCTGCCTGGCCTTCCCCATGCACCTTCTCTCGTCTGGGCGCTAAGAGAGGAGCCTTCAACCAGTGCAGCAGCAGCCACTAGCAGCTGACTGTTGCTATCTGTAACGTGTAAACTATGCCGCGAAAATATAATTTCAGCCAATCAGCGTCGTCAAAGATGACGGTCACCGGGCGCCAATGTCAGCGCCCAGTGCAGTCTGTGAGTAGTTTGGACAGTGACTCGTATCCGGTTGACGCAGTAGTTGATGAGGATGGCTTCGTGTGCAGGTGGAGTCTCCGGACCTCGGTCCCCGCCTAATTCTGTTCAAGAGCTAATCTCCAATCCTTTCGAAAGGAGAAGTTTGGCAGATAAATGTTGCTTAAAGACCTTGGACCGGACCAACCCGATTTGAATATATCGCAGCAATCTCGTGAAAAAGACAAAACGTATACACGAGGCTTCGCAAGTAGCTGGTACACAAAAAAGGCTTGGCTAGCTGGATGCAAACAGGTAAATGCTGTCTTTTGTTTCCCATGCTTGGATATCACTTTATATGTAGAGAGGAGGTTTCCCATGGTTGTTAGAAGTTTATTAATAAGTGGGCATTTATCACAGAAGTGATTGTTCTGTCTCCATGTTTGTTGCATTGTCTGTGATGTATTTTCCAACGGTTATAGCTCCTGTTCTGTCCCAGCAACACTACACGGTTTGCAGCTCCACCACATTTTTGGTTTATCTTCGGTGTCGCTTAAGATCTGCTTCCCATCGGACTAAAACCTCCACGTAATCTGAAGACAGATACTTGAAGTTATTTAAACCTTTTGCAAACTTTATGTTCTTTCTTGCTCTAGCCTTGCCAGTTCATTGTACATAACACATATATTATCATTATGCTAAGTGGTTGTTCGTGTTAGACGATGTAGCTTTTTCATTTCTGAGTTATTGCTATATGTAAATAAGCCTGTTTGTAAATAATCCTCAGAGAAACAAAGAAAAAACACAATTTATGACATTTTGTGCTGTGGTTATTTTTTTTAAATTGCATTTATTCACAGTTCAGTTTGAAATGCTGTAGTGACTTGTATTGAACCACTTAAATATTTATAATTAATGCTACTGAAAAGATGCTATTAATTTTATATCTCACATGCAGTTCACTGTAAAGCTACTTGGTGAAGGTGTTGGTTCATAAAACATGAACAGTTTAAGAAAGAAAAAAACAGACCAGTTCTGAGAACACAAATTCCTGGTAAAGTAGTAGATGTTCAGGTTGATAAATAATATTTTCCACACTGAAGATTATGGAGGTATTGATCAGTCTTCTCATATTTTTAAGCCTCGATTTCTCCTTTCCCCCCCCCTCTAACATCACCAGAAGTCATCATTTAAGGGGTCATTTCTCGAAAAAAAATTCCGGGGGGGAAACCCCCCGGACCCCCCGGGTAGGTCACTTACGGTACGTCAAGAGCCCCACCAAAAAAAAAAAACACCGGCCGCCACTGCTTATTTGTCTGTTTTATTCTATATATGTTGCACCTACAGGACTAGCACAAAATAAATTACGTCGTGCCTTAATAATGACAATAAAGTTCTTGAATCTTGAATCTGACCAGTAGGGAGTAGCAGCCTAGTAGGCTACACTTTGCAGTTGATAGCTGGTAGTTCAACTATATTCATATTTGCATAGTGATTGAAGTAGTTAAATGACTATTTTGTCATTTTCTGGCAGGTCAATTTCTAAAACAACGAACCAGTTTGAGACATTAAAGCATTTGATTGAGGTCTGACTTCAATCTGTGGACCTTTGCTGCATGTTGTCCTCTTATTCTCCCCCTTTCCATTATATCTGTTGTCTTTGTACAAAAATAGTTAAACAAAATGACCCTTAAAGAATCAATACATATGTATGTGTTTACTTTTCTAGCAGCTGAACTTATTTGGCTTGCTATTTGAACCACATGTTTAACATATAAATAGATGTGCTTTATTTTCTCACAATTAAAAAGACAAATACGTGTTTACATTATTAATATTTTAATAGAAAAAACAACAGTGCAAGACAAGTCAATAAACAACTCACAGTATAAATGAAAATATAAAACAGATCACATGTCATGATAACATTTGGCCATCAACTATCTTTTAGGAAGGGTTGGCATCTTTCCTGTGGGAAATATGTAGATCAGAATTTCATTTATGAACTCATTAATGTTAATTTGATCAGGATGTTTATTTAGAAAATATCGACCTTTGACTCAATGTCTTCCAGGGTCTGAGTTGCTTGGAAACTCAAGTCAATTGTCGATATATACTGAGAAACAGCAGAAAACAATATCACATAGTACACTTCTTTACTGTCAACAAACACATTGACTTGATGTCCTGGTTCCTTGATGTTTAATTAGATATGATTCTTTCATTTCAAGCAGTTATCTCAGCAATCATCCCGCTCAGCCTCTCCTCTTCTCCCTCCTCTGTCCTATCTGCTGTTTCCTCTTGTGTTCTTGTGGGACAAGCTGAACTCCTTTCCTCTTTCTCTTCCTCTCCTTCATCCTTCTTCCCCTCCCTTCCCTCTCCCCCCCTCCTGCTTGACCTGCACAACAAGAGAAGGGCTCCCCTGCACCTCTTCCTGAACGAGGGGTCGCAGGCAGCGTACAGTAGAGGGTTAAGGCAGGAGTTGAGATAAGCTAAACATGTGACGTACGGCTGAGCAGCCAGTAAAATCTGATCCAAAAAGCAGGAGTACGGGACATAACCAAACTCCAGCAGCATGGAGACAGTCTTATTAACATGCAGGGGCAGCCAGCACAGGAAGAAAGCCATTACTAGAGTGACGATGACCCTGAGGAGTCTTCGCTGGCGCCTGCGGTCAGGGCGAGGGCCCCGTCCAAAATGTCTGCTGAGGAGCTGGGCCAATGAGCAGTAGCAGACCAGCAATATGACAAGAGGAAGCAGGAAGCCAATTAGAGTTGATTTAAGACTCAAAGCAGCCGCCCACCACACCTCTGCCCTCTCTCGATCCGCCTCCTCTAGATCTGCTCCAATCAGCATGGAGTAATCCATCTGGCAGATGAGGATGACTGATCCAGAGTCAGTGGTAGGATGAATTTCTTCATAATCATAATAAGACTCAGGGTCCAGCTCCCTGACAGAGCGCAGCAGCAAACCAGGAAGTGCCAGCACCCCTGCCAGCACCCACACCCCTCCAAGTACCCACAATGCCCTGCTGGGGCAGCTCTGTGGGGCGTGGTGGCTGGAGTGGCGTCTCCCAGTCAGAACCCAGTACCGCTCCACACTGAGCATGCTCAGACTGAACACGCTGGCGTACATGTTGAGCGCCGTGAGGAAGCTGCTGATCTGGCAGAGGGGCTGCCCAAAAGGCCAGTGGTAGCCCATGGCCGTGTACACCGCCCACAGAGGGAGAGTGACGAGGAAGCAGAGGTCAGCCAACGCCAGGCTGGCTATCAGGGAGTCTGTGAGTGAGCGGGGGGGACGGGGGATGTAGGGAGGATGAGAGGAGGAGTGAGAGGAGTGAGAGGAGGGTCTTTGTTCTGATGAAGATCCATCTGTTTTCTTCTGAGGAGATCCACCAGTGTTGCTAATGCTCTGCTGTCTGATTCTGATCAGGCCAGTGAAACAGGTCTTTCCGGTTCCCCTTCCATCGGGTCGGTCCATGTAGGCCCACAACACCAGGCCGTTGCCGAGGCAACCAACCAAAAAGGCCAGCAGGTAGACGGACGGGATGATGGAGAAGGAGGGAGACCAGTCGCTGTAGTCGCAGTGGAAGAGGGCAGGGGGAGAAGGAGAGGGGGAGGTGAGGAAGTCTGACATCTGTGCGTCCGTCTGCTAAGTTTCTAAATATAATGAATCGCCATTATCATCTCTGGCGTCCCAATACTGAAGAAAAAGTCCAAACGCCTGCACGGTACTATTGTTCCAGGACCGAAATTCCAGTAGCAGATGAGTCCCTTGTTCAGTCTCACAGAAGGTTAAATTGGATGATCTAAAAGTTTAAAAAAAGCAATGAGATTCTCAAACTTTTGCAACAGGCAAAAACACTGTACGTGCACAGCTCATAACAACAAGTTTTGCAACAGACATCTTACTTCAGGAATTTTGTCCAGGGCAATTTGGACTAATCTGCCAGAGAATGTTGCAAACAGACTTTTTTTTTAACATGCAAACAACAAAAGGTCTTCAGTGCACGTGAACTGTGTGTTCCTGTCCATGCTCATACTGTTTATGTTCTCTTGTGCAAAGATGTCAGATGACTTAAGGCGACTTTAAAGCAACATTTTTGTGTTTTTATGCAACACCATTTGAAAGAAAAGTGTAACTCCTACAGGACAACCAGAATCAAGGAGGAAGGTTCTGGATCAAAACACATAAATAGACAGATTCTCACACTGCACTAATGCAGGAACAATTACATACAGTGAAGCAAAGGACCTTTGCCAGGCATTGATAAACTGTTAGTAAAAATAGCAGCATGTGAATTTTATGTCTGTTCTGCATTTCCTTTTGCAATATTTGGACGACTACAGCTTTTATAAAACATCCTGGCTGTCTTCGACTAAATGAAGAACTGCTCTGGAGAGGAATGATGACACCTACCTCAGGCCACTTCATAAGATTGGATGACAAACTCCTTTTCAAGATGCTGTGATGATTGGGTGATGATCATTGTGGAGCAAAATTCAGCCGCTGTCCTCTCCTCCTGTCTTCGCTTCTTTCACTTTCTCTCTGCCACTTTTCCTCCTCATCCTCTCTACATCTATACTGAGCCGGCTGAGGAAGGTGTGTCTTCCTCTGAGTCTGGATAGATAGCATAGTCCTCCATACACACACATGCACACACCCCCTTTGTTTCTTAAACCAGACCACCCCAGCAGAGACTTACGAGACCTACAAACAACCCCAAACCCCCCCCCCCCCCCCCCCCCCCCACTACCCAAACACACACACCTCCCGCGAGACACAATAACATCACCCATCCTTCCCCCCGCAAACACACACAACCCTGAGACTCACAAATAGCAACACAAACAGATTTCCCACAATCCTCTAGGCTGCTCATATTCTCTACGCACATACAGAACACAGATGTGTGCAAACACTAACACACTCTTTTGTTGTGTTTCCCATGTTCAAACACACACAGTGTATACAGTGGTTAAATGTAACAACCCACACAAACAGCCCTCACTTTCCCTCACAAAGAACGGGAAAGTGGATGCATGATATAGCTTTCATGCATATATTTAAAGGGCCTTTAAATCATTACTCTGAACAAACCTAGTTTAAAAAACACAGCTGTGTCATCTTCTGCCAAAAGGTTCAATGTAAAAATCGTATTAAAGTACAGTCTGTAGTGTGAAGTACAATGTTGAGGTAGTAAACTTTACTTGAGCATACTACTTCTACTCCACTACAGTGTAAAGGGACATATTCTACTTTTTTACTTCACTGCACTTATTCGACACACATAAGTTAAGAGCTACTTTGATTAGACCTTCTAAATAAAAAGTGTATTTGTGTTATAAGTTGGCAAAGACACAACATTTGTGTCATAGTTACAGCCATTGCAGGCAATATGCTATGAGAGAATAAAAGGTTATTTGTTAGACTTGTACATTGTCTCCTTATCCCTCATACGTGATACAGCAATTTGCAAATACAGGAGAGATAGTAGTATGGCTAGCAGGGCTGTCAGTCAAGTTTTATCATCTTATCAGAGTAATGTTTTGATATGTGGACCAAAAGTGGAATATAAATTAACTTAATAGATAACTGGACAGTAATATGTTCAACTTTATTGAGAAAAGAGAAGATATTCATACTGGCCAGTAACTGTCTTCCTAATCAACAGCAGAATATACGAATTATACGCATACTAAGTAAGTAAGGTGATTTGATAGAGCTTTTGTTGTTTTACAGCATTTTAAAGTACTGTTTCCCTGTTATCTAATCTTAGTTATTTGATGGATGGACAGAGGGATGGATTGATGGACACTACAGGTCAGTACGGGGTTACAGTGTAAACAGTGAAGATGTCCCGATAGTAAACAGGAAGTGTTTGTTACCACAGGGGCAGAGGTCACACTGCCATCAACTGTTGTTATGGAAACAGATGTTTCTAAAAACATTCCAGTCTTTTCTCTCTCACACACACACACACACACACACACACACACACACACACACACACACACACACACACACACACACACACACACACACACACACACACTGAAAGAAAGGCAGAGTAAATACAACTGTTTCATTGAGAATCCAACCGTTCTGTTGGATGCGCTGCGGGGTAACAAACAGCTGTACGACAGAGAAGACATTAAAATACAGCATACAGATCAAGGGTTGGTATTGATAGCAGATATACAGATACGAGCACCTCAACATGCTTGACACTACTGTTTGCATAAAACATTTTTGCAGACATTTGTGATCCCCAACTTATCTATTTGGGTTAATTATCAGATATTGTAGCAAATATTTATACTCAGTAGATTGAAACATAATTTTAACAGTATGTATCTTAAAAGAGTATGCATTACAATTGTTAATAGTTTATGGTTCAAGGGAGGCGTGTGGTGCAGTGGGTTGTGAGTTGGTGTTCGGATCAGGGTTCAAACCCTACTGCAGTCAGCATGTTGTTGTGTCCCTGGGCAACACACTTCACCCCAAATTGCTCCTGTGGGGATTGTCCACAGTATTGAGTATGTAAGTCGCTTTGGATAAAAGCGGCGAACAAGTGACATGTAATGTAATGTAATGTAATGGGGCTTTAAAATAAACACCTATAGCTTAGTGCTAAAATATACAGCAACATTGCTTATTTGCATGAGTATCAATTACCAGAAAGTTAAAAACAAGTCTTTAGGCCGGTAAAGAACTTAGATTGGAAACCTGTGACGTCTGAGCTCATCTGACATTTGTGCAATGAGGCTTGAATGAAAGGTTTAAAATATTAAAAATAATAAATGACAGTTTCGGGCATGATTTTGTCATCTGACTCATTGAAGGAAATCAAAGGTGTTATTTAATAATGGCTTACAGGAACATTTTGTGTAAATGGAGCCACCATTAATGTTATTAGTCAAATGTGTGCTGTGAAATAAAGGCTTATTGTGTGGGTGCTTAGACTCTTCTTGATTGATAGTTTCCTTTATGTCATGTTCAGTTTTATTTCGGTACAGTGACTACTTCATTCCTGTATAATTTAGACCTGAAAAGATGCCGCTTTAGCCAGAATGACTCAGAAAGGAGATGTGTTTGAACAGCTTTTAGGATCTTCTCTGAACTGTGCCATCCACCAATGGATTTTCAAACATGGTAATAGTTTGCCTACTGGTAATGTGAACAAGATAAGAATTTGCATAATATGCCTGGGACAGTATGAAGCACAGAGGAGGCAAAGTCCACATAGCAGGACGACCTTTCAAAGGGATTAAAAGCACCGTGGATTGGAAACGGAACAATTTCGTAATGATTGTCTCCAGAGTATATCAATCGATCCTCTTTGTTCTTGTCATTGTGATGGCAGGAGCAGAGGTGCAGGAAAACCTCTCTCCTAACTGTAAACAGTTCCTGTACATGGGCACGCTGCCTCGAGGGCTTCAGCAGCTGTCTTTTAAAAAGATTTGCCAGTTCTACGAGGGCAAACCACGATTCGTCACCCTGTTCGACACCTTCAGTCACATCCCCATTTATTCTGCGTACACCTTCAAGCGCTCGGACGGCTACGAGAAGGTGGATGTGCCTTGGATGTATGAACCACAGGTAGGGGTTGAGTATTGGATTTGCTGTCTTAACCTGCTGTGAAAAAAGCATACAGTCCTATGTTTATGCTAAATACTTTAAATCTACTTACGTAAACACACATTTGAGTTTTTATTTAGTACAATATTTATCTCCACAGCTCTCCACAGTGTCTGATTCACGTGAGATGCAGCCCTTCCCTTCAGAAAACCTTCACAAGAGCTTTGAGGATGCTCAGGCCGTGCTTGAAGACTACTCCAACAGTGTCATGTTTGAACGTGGTCAGCTGAATCCGGACGAGCACCAGGCCGACATCCATGACAAAGCCTCCACCTACACACTGACAAACGTGGTCCCTCAGGTCAGAGAGTTCAACATTGGCCCATGGAAAAATCACCAGTACATGATTCGCAGGCGGCTCAACAACTACTGTCGTGGCACTGCATATATAGTCACCGGGGTCACGACCTCTGGGCACAGCATCCGCAGACACAACATCAACCGCCTGGGCATCCCCACCTACCTGTGGTCGGCATACTGCTGCATTGATTTTGACCACAATGCACCATTCTCCGAGCGCTCAAAGTTTCCTGTGTTTGCTGCTCACGGGCTCAACAACAGGGAGGATAACAAGGTCCAGGAGATGACGGTGCAGCAGCTGGAGGACTTCCTGAAGAAGGTTACCTATGTCGACAGCTCTTTCCAGATCTTCTATGAAAACTGCGTGGCTCTCAATAGTGCCATGCCTTGAGAGAAGAAGATTGGTCCTTTTATATTTACACTATTGTCTTTAAGATTCCAAATTCAGCCGTCAAATAGGAGTAAATATTGAATTACTTTATGCAGTTTTCTGGGGTAATTTAAACTTGATGCCCCCTTGTCTCAATTTCTTCACCAATATATAATCCAGCATATCTTGATTTGCTCTTTGGCAGCTTGTTTGCAGATTGAAATGTAAATCCCACCACTATTACACTGATCTTTTCTTATTTAACGTGGTCAAAGTATAAAGAATATAACCCCAAAGGTCCTCTTACAAACTTTTCCGAGCACCA